TTTCATTGTAACTTTAATAAATGATTGAATATTAGTTTAATTATTAAAAAAAGAAAAAAAAAAAATAATGCAATAAACCTTTTTTTTTTTTTTTTCTTATCTAGAGAAAATACATAAACATATATAAATAAAAATGAATACACAGAATAATAATGAAAATTTTGATCAGTTTTCAATTAATACTACAAACTTAAATGTTTTCGTTAACGATTCAGATAGAACATGTAATGATATTATATCAAATAGAGAAAACAATATCAACTATAAAATTGATAATTGTGTTAATTCAAGAAATTTTCTTGATATAAAAAGTAATAATATTTTTCATAAAAATATCAATAAAGAATTAAATTTCATTAATTCTGAAAACATTAATGAACATAATGAAGAAAATTTTAATGTAAAAAAACATATGAAGAAAGAAAAAGATATCTGTTTAAATAATTCTAATGAATTGTTACAAACAAGTAATATAAATATTTTGAATGAAAATAATTATTTTTATAATCCATTTTTAAAAAATTTAAATTACACAATGTCTCAAAATAACTTTAATAATAATACATCAAACAATTCCTTTAATAATAATTTAGAAAACTCTTTTAATTTTGAAAATAATGAAAAATCAAAGGAATATTATGACATAAATGTTAATAATATAAAAAACTGTAAAATTAATAATAGTAACAAAAATATAAATCATCTAAATGAGTTAAGTAATTTTCATCATATACAACCTTTAAATAATTTAAATACTAACATAAATCATCTAAATAATCTCAGTAATTTCAAAAACAGAAATAATGCAGATAATAACACAAACCTTTTAAAAAGTGTAAATAATTTAAATAATGTTAGTGATATAAATAATGTAAATAATTTGAATAATATAAATAATGTAAGTTCTTTAAATGAAATAAATAATTTAAGTTATATAAATAATATAAATGATTTAAATAATTTAAAAAATATTAATAATTTAAATCATATAAATAATTTAAATAGTTTTAGCAGTATAACTAGCTTGAATAATATCAATAATATGAATGATTTAAATAATGCAAATGGTTTTAATAATTTAAATAACTTGAATAATCTAAATGGCATAAATAATTTAAGTAATATCAATAGTTTTCAAAATTCAATAAATAATATGAATGCTTTAAAAAGAATAGAAAATGTAAATAATGTGAATATAAATAAAAATTTAAATAATAGAAATAAAATAAATGAAAATATAAACAAAACAAATAATTTTAATACAATAGATAACTTACATAATTTTAATAACATGGAACAACCAAATAATATACAACATATTAGTTGTATTCCTAACCCACCATATGTAAATAATTTAAAAAATTTTAATGATTTTAGTAAAATAATAATAAATGAGAATATGAGCAATAATAATGATAACAATAACATTAGTAGCAACAAAAGTTGCACTAATTCTAATTCATTTAATTTATCTAATACAGATAATAACAATATAGCAAATAATCAAACTTCATTTAAACATTTAAGAAACGCAAATAATTATACCAATTTAAATAATGTAAATGATTATAACAGTATTACAAATATAAATAATGTTAGCAGCTTAAATAACATGAATAGTATTAATAATATAAACACAATTAGTGATATAAATGACATGAATAAAATAATAAATTTAAACTCCTTAAAAAAAATGAATGATATGCAAGTTATTAATATCAGTAATAAAGAAAATGCGATGCTTTCGAACAGTTTTAATTCTTTAAATTCAAATAATAAACATATGAATTATTATATAAATGACTACTTAGCTAATAATAAAATTATTAATCAAAATTATAATTTTTGTGCTCCTTTAGATAATAAAAATATAAATAATAATTATATAAATAATCATATAAATGATAATATGCCAAATATATTGATGGATAATATGAATTATAATTCAAATAATTATATAAATTATAAGAATAAAAATACAATTCAAGATGATAATTCTTTATTAAAAGAAGTAGATTATAATAATATGTATAATTCATATAACTATATGGAGGATAGAAATAGTGATTATAAAAAAAATATATTAAAAAATATGAATGGAAATATTTTAAATAATTATAATGAAGAATCGTTATTAAATTGTAACATATATAATGATAAAAATTATTTAGATCCAAGTGTAACTTCAAGAGAATGCGATTCTATTTATAGTAAAAATAGAAAAAATTTAAAAACTAATATTAATATGATTAGAAATAACCCTTATATGCGTAGTGATATTTTAGATTATAACAACAATTTAAATAGTGAAAAAATATTAAGTGAACAAGGAACTAATAATAATATAATTAATAATGAAATAATAAGTTCATCTATTAAAAATGAAGAAACAAATAATAATAAATATTTTGCAAATAATAATTATATGAATACAATAAATGATGTTAATAAAATTAATTATGATAATATGAATAATGTTTATAATGGTTATATGAATGTAATGAATAAAATGAGTGGGAATGTAAACATTTCTAATTTAAATGTAAATTGTAAAAAAAAAGATAACACTCATATAAATAATATGATAATAAGTAAAAAAACAAAATCAAATTTTTTGAAAAATTCAAATATTAATCATTCTAATTTAATTACTAATGATAATAACAATAACTCATATTTTTTTGATTCTAATACAAATGCATTTATTATGAATAATAATAAAGAAGGGAATCCTATTCATCCTAATAAAATGATTAATTTAGATATATATAATTATGAAAAAAATAGTGAAAATTTAAAATTTAATTATGATAATAATCTATTAAAAAATAAATGTGATAATTCTAATAACATAATCTTGAATAAAGATATAATTGAAATGATTTTACGAAACAATAAATACTCATTGGATAGAAGCAGTAGTGAAACTATAAACAGTTCATACACTAATTTTTTAATGAATGTCAGTTCTTCATACTTAAAAAAGAAATCATCTGAAGATAAGAAAACTGCTGATAATATGTATATTAATAAAAATGAAATAAACATAAATAATGAAAAAGAAAATGTAAATAATGAAAAAGAAAATGTAAATAATGAAAAAGAAAATGTAAATAATAAAAATGAAATAAACATAAATAATGAAAATGAAACAAATATAAATAATAAAAATGAAACAAATATAAATAATAAAAATGAAACAAATATAAATAATAAAAATGAAATAAATATAAATAATAATAATGAAATTAATATAAATAATAATAATGAAATAAATACGAATCAAACAAACATGATAAAAGTAGAAAATGAAATTAATTATGAAACATTTTATAATGAGAGTAAAGAGAAAATATATATAAAAAATGAAAATCCAAGTAGAAAAAAAAAAAAAGTAAATAACATTTACGAATGCAAAACATTTAGCAAGAAGGTAAATAATGATTTTAAAGAAGTTAAAAGAAAAGGAAGAAAAAGAAAAAATAACTTGGAGTCATATAATGATTTAAGTAATAAAAATCAATCACAAAAATATTTAAATGTATCAGAAGAATTAAGTAAAATAAAACCAGAATTAGAAGATTCAAAAAATGAAATGACAGAAAATTATAAGGAACTTAAAAAAGAGAAACATTATGATAATTCTGATTCAAATGGTATAAAAAACGTATTGAATTTTTTTAAAAATAAATTGAATAATTTTAATGCTAAAAATTCTGTTAATTGTCATGGTGAAATAAGTGTTTTAATTAACAATTTTTTTTATTTATTAAAAATAATTAATAATCACAAAAAAATACTAAAAAGTATTTATAATTTTAATTTTACTACTATAAATGAAGATGCTGTAAGGAATTATTTAGAAAAATGTTTTCCTTTTGTAAAGTGTTATAGGAATAATTATAAGTTTTATAAATTTGAAACATATAAAATGGATGAAGATTATAAAAAAAATAATAACAATTATTTAGATAATGATAAAGATTTACCTTCTAATGGAAAGTTAAGAAAGGATAATAATGAACATATCACAAATCTTTTAATTATTAAAAATGTAGGTTATGAAATTGTTGACAATAATAATATTAAAAATATTGAAAGTGATGATATTTGCAGGAATGGAGATCAAAAAAATAAAGTTAATTTTAATGAAATGAAAAATGATGTTTCTAATAATAATAATAATAATAATAATAATAATAATAATAATAATAATAATAATAATGAGAATAATCATAATTTTTCAGATTATCTAAATATGAATAATAATAATCATACTGTAAACAATGAAGATAAAGGAGAAGAAAGAACGTTAAATAAATATAATAAAAACATAATTAATAAAAATACAAAAGAAATTGAAGTAGAAAATAATAATACGAACTTTTTAGTAACCAATGATAATAAGGATAAAAAAAATGTATACGTAAATTCTTTAAAAAAAAATGAAAATGATTCTACACAGAAAGAATTAAAAAAGGAGTTGAACGAAGAAGAAAAAATGAATAAAAAAAATGTAGAGGAAACAAATAATATGGAAAATAATAACTTAGAAGAAAAAAAAGAAGTAATTACAGAAAACATAAGTGTGAAAAAAACTAAAAAGAAAAGTTTAAAAAATAATGAAGAAAACAAAAAAAATAGAAAAAAAAATAAAAAAAATAAAAAAGAAGAAAATACAATTAATAATTTAATAGTTCATGAATGGATGACAACTGAAGATGAAGACAAAAAAGAAGGCGAAGTAAAAAAAAGCGATGAAGAAATAAAAACAAATGATGAAGAAATTAAACAAAATGAAAATAAAACTGATGATTTAAATAAAAATCCAACTGGAAATTTTAATATATTTACAAGCATGGAAAATATATTTAATGAGGATAAAAAGGAAAACAAAAATTCATGTGAAGAATATACTGATGAAAAAAATAAAAATGAGATAACTTATTTAACAAAAATTAGTGATATTGAAGATACTTCTGAATCAAGTGAAGATAATACTGGTTATGAACAAAAAGAAGAAAATTATAAAAAAAAAGAAAATCAAAAAATTTATAACAATATACAAGATAATTATAATAATAATAATAATAATAATAAAAAATATGATCAATATAATAGCAAAACCAACAATAAAAATATGTTTATGAATAAAGGAAATATAAAAAACAATGGGAATGCATTTATATATCACAAAAAAAATATATATAATAATAAAACTAATAACCATTTTAATTCATCATATTATTTTTGTAATCATAAAAACAATTTAAAAATGAAAAAGAAAAATTTCAAAAAAAATAATCATTATTTCAATTTTCAAAATAAAAATCAAGAAAATTCCCCATATATGAAAAATGATAAAAAAATAATGAATAATTTTTTTACTCCAAATAAATATAAAGATTTTAAAAAAAATACAAATAACAATTATAATATCCATAATAATAATAATAGTAGTATTAGTAATAATAATAATAATAATAATAATGACAATAGTAATAGAAATGATGATAATAATAATAATAATGAAGACAAAGAAAAAATGAAAAAAAAAGATAATTTAGAAAATACATTTCAGGATAATCATTTAAATAATAAAAATATTTCATATGGATCTTTATCAAATATATCATCATTGTCAGATGTTAGTGATATAGAAGATTTCAAAAAAAACGAAAAAACTTATTTACAAAAAAAACATTTAAGTTATACTGAGAGTAAAAGTTGGTTTGACAAAAATAAAAAAACAAATTAAAAATAAAGAAATATAAATTAACATAAAAAATGGATTTATTTAAATTAAAACAATGACATAATAATGTAATGTTTTAAAAGGAAAAAAAAAAAAAAAAATTATTTTTAAAATATATTAAATTAAGTTATATTCTAAATATATATAATATTTTAATGATAGAAAAAATTTTTTTTTTGAATTAATAGTACATATTCATAATTTTATAAATCATAAAAGTCGATGTATTTTTAACTGTAAAAACATAACGAATTTTTAATGTGACTTTTTTTTTTTTTTTTTTTTTTTATGTTTATTTTTAATAAAAAAAAAAAAAAAAAATTTTATTCCTCATTTATCACAATTTATTATATATTTTTAAAAATAATTCTTAAACATATATATATATATATATATAGTATACTTTTTATTTTTTTTAAATAACTTTTTATTTTATTCTAAAATTATTGTTGCACCCAATTCCTCAAATTTCTTTTTTATTTCATCAGCTTTTTCTACAGGTACATCTAAGAAAAAAAAAAAAAAAAAAGAAAAAAGAATGAAAAAAATAAACAATGATTATTAAAAAGAATAGATAAATAATGATAATAAATTTGTGAAAAAAAAGAATATTTTTTACTTTTCTGTATATAAAATGGAGCACTTTCTACCATATCTTTTGCTTCTTTCAAACCAACATTTGTTAATTTTCTAATTTCCTTAATTGTATTAATTTTATTTTTGACATCAAATTTTTCTAGTTTAATATTATATGTGCTTTTTGTAATTTTTTTGTTTTCATTTTGTTTTTCTTCTTTTGATTCTTTTTCTTCTACACTATTAGAATTTTTTACATTGTTATTAGTTGGAGTATTATTTATATTATTTTGATTTAATGGAGAAAAATGACCAGCATTAAAAAAGTGAGAAGGATGAGGAAATGGATTTCTATTCATAAAAAGAGAGTTATTAAAACTTTTGTTTCCTTCTAATTTTTCTTGGCATAAATCACATAAATCAGCTGCTTCTATTAATGTTAAATTTAAGATTTCATCAACTAGTTTTACAACTTTTTTAGAAGGTTTTCTTTTTAATTCACTTGTTACTTCATTGTTATTTGAATTATTAACATCTTTGATCTTATCAAAAACATCAAAATTACTAAAATATCTTTTTAAAAGAAATTTATTTGTTATTCCATTTCTATTAAAATTATTATATGAAATATTACGAAAATCATAAAAATTACTTAAATATCTTTTTAAAAGAAATTTATATTTTTTCATTATTTTTTTAACAAATATAAAAGCATAAAAATAAAACTTTAAAAAAAAAAAAAAAAAAAAATTTAACTTCAGTAAATTTAAAAAACTTATACAATAAAACTATTCATAATAATTTCTACTAAAATGTAATAAAGTTATAAATTTAACTAATATTAAATCATATGTGTTATTCAAAAGTTTTGTATTTAATATTTAACTATTTTAAAAGTTAGGAAAATATAATAAATAAATATACAAAATATGTATTTTAATAGATAAAAATATGTATATACTTTTTTCTTAGTTTTAAAACCTACATAACACTTCAGAAAAGGTTTAAAAAAAATAAAAAAAAAAATTATGTAATTAAAGTTAATGTAAAGTTAAAAGTATGAGTATAAAAAAAAAAAAAAAAAAAAAAAAAAAAAAAAAAAANATCATGATCATCCATTTTGTTTCGATATATGTAAAAAAAAAAAAAAAAAAAATTAAATAGGAGAAAAAATGAAAAAAAAATATGAAAAATAAAATAAATTTAAATAAAGATATATATAAAAAAAAAAAAAAAAAAAAAAAAAAAAAAGAAAAAAAAAAAAAAAAAAAAAAAAAAAAAAAAAAAAAAAAGAAAAAAAAACGTACTTAATTATTAAAAAAAAAAAAAAATGATTCATTTATTTAGTTTTATTTATAATTTTTTTTAATTTATATATATATATATTTATTTATTTATTCATTTATTTAATTAATTAATTTATTTATTTATTTTTTAATTTATTTATTTTATTTTATATTGTTGTAATTCCTTTTTTTTTTTTTTTTTTTTTTTTTTTTTTTTTTTTTTTTTTTTTTTTTTTTTATATATATCTTTATTTAAATTTATTTTATTTTTCATATTTTTTTTTCATTTTTTCTCCTATTTAATTTTTTTTTTTTTTTTTTTACATATATCGAAACAAAATGGATGATCATGATGCCAATGTAGAACAATGGAAAATAAAAAGATTAATAAAAAAATTAGAGAATGCTAAAGGGTAGAGAATATTTAAATGAATAAATAGTCTTATAACGAGAATAATTTTTATATCATTATTTAAATGAATATGATAAGAATGAATTTTTTATTTTTCTTTAAAGAATATAATTAATTATTTTATATATATATATATGAATTATACTTTTGTATATTAATTTATCATTTGTACATTATATTTAATATTTATTTTATTTTTAATAGAAATGGAACAAGTATGATAAGTTTAATTATAAAAAATAAGGATGAAGTATCACGTATAAATAAAATGTTAGCAGATGAATTGGGAACAGCTTCAAATATAAAAAGTAGAGTTAATAGACTCAGTGTTTTGTCAGCAATTACATCAACACAACAAAGTAAAAAAAAAAAAAAAAAAATATATATATATATATATATATATATGTTTAGAAAATATTTTATATTTGATATATTTTCCTTTTATTATTTGTATAGAATTAAAGTTATATAATAAAACTCCTCCAAAAGGATTAGTAGTATATTGTGGTACAGTAATAACAGAAGATGGAAAAGAAAAAAAGATGTCTATTGATTTTGAACCATTTAGACCAATTAACACGAGTTTATATTTATGTGATAATAAATTTCATGTAGAAGCTTTAAAAGAATTATTAGAAAGTGATGATAAATTTGGTTTTATTATAGTTGATGGTAATGGAGCTTTATTTGGTACAATTCAAGGGAATACAAGAGAAGTTATTAGACGATTTACAGTTGATTTACCAAAAAAACATGGAAGAGGTGGTCAAAGTGCTTTACGTTTTGCTCGTTTAAGATTAGAAAAAAGACATAATTATGTTAGAAAAGTAGCTGAAGTAGCAACTTCAGTTTTTATAACAAATGATAAAATAAATGTTACTGGAATTGTTCTAGCAGGTAGTGCTGACTTCAAAAATGATTTATTAAATAGTGATATGTTTGATCCTCGTTTATCATCAAAAGTTATTAAAATAGTTGATATATCATATGGAGGAGATAATGGTTTTAATCAAGCGATTGAATTAAGTGCAGAAGCGTTACAAAATGTTAAATTTATTCAAGAAAAAAAATTAATAGGAAAGTTTTTTGAAGAAATTGCACAAGATACTGGTAAAGTTGTTTATGGAATAGATGATACCTTAAAGGCTCTTGAAATAGGAGCAGTAGAATTATTAATTGTTTATGAAGGTTTAGATATTATTAGATTAACTACTAGAAATAATATTACTAATCAGACTAAAACTATGCATATTTCACCTAATGATGAAAAACAAGAATCTCTATATAAAGAAAATAATGTAGAATTAGAAGTTATTGAAAAAATTTCTTTAACAGATTGGGTTATTAATAACTATAAAAAATTTGGAGCCTCATTAGATTTTGTTACAAATAAATCACAAGAAGGTGCACAATTTCAAAAAGGATTTGGTGGATTTGGTGGACTGTTGAGATATAAATTAGATTTTAACATTTATGATGAAGATGTAGAAAGTGATGCTGAATTGTTTTAAAAAAAAAAAAAAAAAACATTCATATATATATATGTATATTTGTAATGTACCTATTATAAATATATTCATTATTGTAAAAAAAAAAAAAAAAAAAAAAAAATGTAATTTAAGAAGGTATATAATATATATTCTCCCTTTTTATTTTATGTTATTATATTTTATTTATTTGTTTTGTTTTGTTTTGATTTTTTTTTTTTTTTTTTTTTTTTTTTAAAAATCTATGGAACAAGCTAAAAATTTTTATAATTTATTTTCAATTTATTTTAAAAATTGATCTTATAAAAAAATATTAAAAAATTATGATTTTACATATATATATATATGTATATATATATATATATATATGTAAATAATTAAAATTCTTTAAATATAAATTTTTATTTAAAAATATAATTTATTATTAATTTTTTAATTTTTTTTATTTAGTTTTTGTTTTATAACATTTTTTAATTTCTTTTATTTCTTATGTATATGAACAACATAATTATATATGAGTGTACATTTTTTTTTTAAATTATTTGTACATATATTAGACGGTAAAAGAGTGGCATTAATATGTATTAAATAAGAAAAAACATTGCTAATTAAAATTTGTTTTAAACAAGAATCTTCACATGAATTTTTTAATTTATCCAAAATAAATGCTCCCAAAAATGCACTTCTTTCAAGAATTTCTTTTAATATATTATAATAGACTTTCAATTCAATCATTTCAGGCAAAAAATTAAACAAATAATCATTTTTATAAATTCTTTTTGTATTAATATATTCATCAATTGATCTATTATAATGAATTATTTCTCCTGAATATGTAGAATCATCACTATAGGAATTACTATCACTCAAATAGCAGCTAAAACTAGATTTAACAGCACCCCTTGTGTAATGAATTTTTTCTTTTTTTTTTTCTTTCATTGTATTAACTATATCTAAGCATATTGGTACATATGATAAATTAGAATTAACTTTTATCTATAAAGAAAACATATAGTTTATAAAAAAAAAAAAAAAAGTAAATGTTTACAAAAAAGTAAATATAAAAAAAGTGCATGGATTAATGTAAAATGTATAAAAATATATACAAAATTAACTATATATATAAATAAATATATATATATATATATATATATATATATATATATATATAATGATAAAGAAATAACAAAATATATAAAATTTTTGAGAATTTTTTTTTTTATTACTGTTCTTATTAATGTTGTATTTTTTCTTCCAAAATGTTCAATAATGTTGGTAACTAATCTAGTCGATTTTAATAATAGAGTATATAAATGAATAACAAAATGTGAATAAGTAAAATAAGGAGTTTGTATTATATTTAGTAATATAGTATTATAATTTAATATTGATTTATAACATATATATAATACTCTTTGTGTAAATAAAGATAATTCATTTTTTTTCATTTTTTTTTTTTCTTTAACATTTGATATATTTGATGATGCACTTATCTCATATGGACTATATGCTTCAATAAAAACTTCTTTTTCATATATAAATTTTTCTAATATTCTATTAATATAAAATAAATGATGTTCAACTCCTTTTTCCATTAATGATATAAGAAAATTATTAACATTATATATATTACAATAGTATGATATTTTTGTGAATAATTCAACATACAAATAAGATTCTTCAAATATAGCTAGACAGTTAATTTTTTCAATTTTTAAAAATATAAAATTTATTCTATTCATTAATTTTTCTATGATATTTAAAATCGAATTTAGAAAAAATTCTATTTCGTAATTTGTTTGTAAAGTAGTATCTTGTTTAATATTTTTTCTTCCTTTTTTTTTGTAATTCTCACCATTGCAATTCATTTGGTTATTATTTTTTAAATAGTTTTCATCATTTATATTATTATTCTTTTCATTATGTTTGTCAGAAGTAGATGGTTTATTACTATTTTCTTTTATATCTTCATTATATTCTGAATCATATGGAGAAAATTCTTTGTTGTTAATAATATTTTTCATGGATGACATATACTTTTGATTATTATATTCAAAATTTTTATTAAAATCATATATGGAATCAGAATAAAAGTCTGAATATTTATTTGTATTTTTTAAATTTTTAACAAAAATATATAATAACTTAATAATCAAAACAATTAATGAACAGAAGATTATGTGATTTTTATTTCTTATATATTGATCATCACTTATATAATATATAGAACTAAAACTTTTATTTTTATCAAATATAGAATGATATATTAAAGGAACGTATATTAATTTTGTCAAAATATTTTTCTTAATTATATGTAAACATATATTTTTATTTAAACAAATAAATGTTAATGTATTTATATAAAAATAATAATATTTGTCATTTTCTAAAAAGTTATTAATTTTATTAATTTGATCATATATAATATTTTCTAATAAATTATATATTTTTTCATTAATACTATCAAAGATATTTCTCTTTTCTCTTTTTAAACATTTAAAAAAATAATAATAAAATAATTCATAAATAGTATTAATTCTATTGTATAAAAAATATAATAACAAGTGCTGAAGAAGATAAGAATTGGGAATATTTTCTTCATTTTTCATATGAATATGATGAGCTTCATAACATTCCTTTAATATTTCTTTTAAAGTTATCATATAAATATCAAAAATAAAATTTTTTTCAATAAAATTATTATTATCATTAAAAACATTTATAATATTATTTGAGATATTATCATCATTATTATTATTCTTATTATCTTCATCATTATCATTTATATTATTAGTTGTATTTTCATGATTTATAAGAAGTTTATTATTGTTATTTCCTTTTATATCCTCTATATTTTCTTTTTTTTCTTTATCTTTTTGTTCATCAGTTTTAAGCAAACTTTTATTTAATTTTATAAAATGATTATTATAAATTCTAATACTAATGTAAAATAACTCTAATAAATTGACAAATAAATTTATATTAAAATGATTTGCAGGATAAATATGTTTTAAAATTGAATTTGGTATGTATAAAGTATTAAAATTCTTTAAAAAATATACATTTTTATTATAAAATTTAAAAAAATGTAAATGAATATTAATAACTCTAACAAATAGAGAAAGAAATAAAGGCATATTATAAATTAAACTATTTTGATGTTGAAAAATGCTTTCACATGTATTCATATTCACCGATTTACATTTTTCATCTGTATCACTAATATTAATTGAATTTTTTATAAATTCATATTTTTCAATATCTCTTTTAGATATATTGTTCAAAATATCAAAAACAAAACTATCATTTTTATTTTTTATACTGATAATATATGATTCATCTATAAATAGATCACAAAAAAAGATTCCATGATAAAACTCTTTTACATGTTCACTTTCATTATCAATAATATCATTACTATTTTTTATATTTTTATCATTATTTTTAAAAGTTTCTTTATTATTAGATGGTGTTTTTCCATTGATAAAAATTTTATAATTATTATTAGAAAAAGCATCTTTATCTTTTTCTATTTCTTTAATATTATTATTATCATCATTGTGTAAAACATTTTTCTTCTCATATTCTTTATAATCTTTCATACTTACAAAAGAAAAAAAGTTTATTAAAATATTTGTAATAATAACATAATAGAAGGAATTTTGGTTTATGTAGTTAGAGGAGGTCATAAATGTTATCATTATTTCGTATATAAAAAAAAGGAAAGGTGAACTGCTTGCTATATTATGTTTTTCTAAATATAGCTTTTCTTCTTTTTGATAATTTTCATCTCCAAATAAATTTTTATGTTTAATAATAATTATAAATTTATATAAAAGTAACAACAATCTAAATTTACTATCATAAGTACTATATGTTAAGTTTATGTATTTCATACATTTTATTTCATTTTTAAAATAATTCGAAAAAGCAAAAATACTAGATACATTATTATCAAAATAAATATATCTTTTCTTTTCTTTTTTTTTCATTTTTTTTCTTTCCATTTTTTCTTCTTTATAAGCATAATTTAAACTATTATTTTTATTACTACATGTATTTTCATTTATTGAGTCATTATTTGAATTATTGGTGTTTATATATTTGTTTTCCATATGAAATTCAAATTCATTTTTGTTACTTAAGTTATTTGAATTGGTATCTGGAAAAATAGTATATAAATTTCTTAAAATATTAGAATCAATTTTTTTTTTTATTTTTATATCTGATTTATATTCATTATCATTATTTATGTTGTCACTAAAAATATTCTGGTTTTCTTCTTCTACATCATTAATATAAGAATTTTCCTGATAGTTATTAGTAGTATTGTTTAAATAATGATAATAATTCTTTATATCAAATAAATAATTTTTTTCACCATATAATTTTGATTTATTTTCATAAAATTTCGTACTAACATAATCATTTTCTAATAATTCTATTTTATTTTGTAATATACTTCTAATTGTTATTGAATCATTATTTTCTACAAAAATACTTTCATTTAGCTGATCTTTATTTACACTATTTTCACTTATATTAATTATATACTTATAATCTATTTTTCTTTCGTGTAATACTTGTAACATATTTTCTATTAGTGAATCATCATTTATTAAACCATATTTTTCAATAGCTATATTTTTTTTGCTGTTTAAAAGAATCTTTAAATTAGATGCACTGTCTTCCTTTTTTTTAAGCATTTCTAAATATTTATTCAATAAATCATTTAAATTATTATGACTTATATTAAAAAAAATTCTGCATATATTTTTATCATAACAAATATATATAATTAATTTATTTGCACACATATCTTTTATATATACTCCTTTAATTATTATTTCGAATATTTCACTTATTATATTTAAATTATATAAATAATTATATAATTCTTTTCTTAGTTCCTTATTATAAAAAATTTTTTCACTAGAGTTGAAAAAAAAGGATACATTTTTTTGTAATTTATTTATAAATATGTTAAAAATTTTTTCTATGTTTTCCCAAAAATCTTTTTTTTTTTCAATATTTTCTTCATTGTCATTAAATATATTTAAATAAATTGAATTTATAAAATGCAAAGATAGATTTAAATTTTTTAATTCATTAAATTTATATGACTTCAGCTCAAAAGAATCATAATTCTCTTTTTCTACGTAACTTCTTATTATAAATAACAAAACATTAAAAAGGTCTTCATAAATAGAAATATGGATTAAATCATTATTTTTTATAAATAAATATAAGAATTTTAACACTTTAAAGCTCCTTTTTGTGTATTCTATTTTTAAATTTAAAGAATCTGATATGTTTATTTTATTAAAATAGAACAAAAATTTATCTGTGAAAAACTTTAATATATATGAAAGGGATATAAAACCTTTACTATATTTGCAAAGAAAATAAATGTTGTTATAATCATTCATTTTAAAATATTTATTTAAATTTTCATACAAAACATAAATGTTCTTATAATCATGTAAAAAAAAATAAAGTAAGGATATGCTTAAAATTTCTCTTTTCTCATTAGAATGCTTTTTCTCTATACTTAAAATATCATTATTTATAGCTTTACTAACAATATCATTCTGTAAAATAGAAAATAAGAAAAAAAAAAAAAAATTATTTTATAAAAAAATAAAATTATATATAAAATATATATAAAGATGTATTTCAATAAAATAATATAAAAACATAATTTTGTTTAACCTTCTGAATAAAATCCAATGACATTTTTGAAAATAAATTCAATATAAGATGAGATGTATCAAATAAAGAAAATATTTGATTAGCAATATTCATTGAAATATTGTTAACTTCTTTAACAAATGTAAAATTATAGCAAATTTCTAGTAATATTGAATACATTAATAAAATTCTATTTATAATTTGTTTATATATTTTTCTGTTACTTTTATTCTTAGAATAAGAGATGATATTTTTGTTTTTGAAGTAATTTGTATTAAAATTGTTTATAAAACTATTAAATATAGAATAATAAAAATTAGATAAATGAAAGTTATATTTAAATATGTTTTGGTTATCTTTTTGTTCATAATTCATTAGAAGGAAATCACTTAAAAAAAATACATAATTATTTTGAAAAATAATTTTTAATAAATCCTTTATATGAAAAAAAAATTTTAAAAATGTGAAATTACATTTATTAGAATTATTTATTTTCGAAAATGATGACAATTGATTTAAAGAGTTTCCATTAGTTGATAAATCATTTATATTAAAATTTATGGTTGAATGATGAAATAATTTTTCTATATTATTATTATTATTTATATCATTATTATTAATATTATTATTATTATTATTGCTATTGTTATTCTTATTAATTTCTCTTCTATTATTTTCTTTTTCTAATAATACAATATCAGTTAGATAATCCATTGTATAGTTATTATGTAACATTTCATTATTATTCGTTTCAATTTGAAATATATTAACTTTTTTTTTTATATAGGAACTTGATTTAGTTAATAATGTTTTATGATTTATCATTATATTATTCATAAAATTATAAAATGTAGAATCTTTCTGATTTACATATTGTGCAGATGATAAATTTATTTTACTTTTCATTTCATAATTATCTAAAAAATCGTTTTCGATGTTTTTATTTTCTAAATTTTCTTCTATAGTATCATGATTTAATAAAAAAGAATTAAACTCAAAATTAATTTCTTTTATTCTCTGAATGTTAATATTCTTTGATATATTTATCATATAGTTAATGATAGATAAGCACATATTTAAAATACAAAACTTTGAAGATTTAAATATAAATGGGGCTGAAAAATTATCTATAAATACTTTATTAATATATTTTGAGAAAATTAAAAATACGAAATCATGAAAATGATTGCTACTATTTAGTAAGTTGCAATTATAAAAAAAGTTATTTACTTGAATAAAATAATTTTTTAAGTATTTATAATAAGATATAAAAAATAATTTAACTAATTCATTTATATTTATGTTTTTTTCTTTTTTAAAAGTTTCATCACAATTGTTAACTGTCCATATTGTCCATTTCTTTATTAATATATTAATACTATCTAATACTTGACATATTTTTGTTTGAAATGATTTACAAATATTAAAATAAAAATATGCACTGTTATTTTTTTTCATAATTTTTTTAAATAATTTCAAAATTATTTCTGTACATTCATAAATTTTTTTCCTTTTTTCCTCTTCATATAATTTTAATAAATCATTTACAAAACTAAATTTATAATTATTATCAACTTGACATAAGTACATAAGAGTAATCACAAAAATTTCTTCCAGACTTATATTTTCAGTAATATTATTATTATAACATATCTCATAATCGCTTATATTGTAGTAATAATAATTACAATTACTATGATTATTACTCCTATTATTTATATTATCATTATTACTAGTAAAACATGTCTGACTACAACTAATTATAACACTTTTACTAGAAAAATCAGGAATATTACTTCCATATGAATTACCATTATCAGTATTATTTTTATTCAAGATGTAACTCAAATCATGATTACTACTGTTGTAATTATTTTCATATATATCATTAATATTGTTAGATATATTACTAGCAGTAGTATTTTTATTTTCTTCTTTTTCAATTGTTATTTTTTCTTTTATTTCCAATTTATTCAAATCTATTCTTCTAATAGAATTTAAAAGAAAAAATATTTTCAAAAATGATATATCAATTTTGAAATTTTCTTTTATTTCCATAAAATCTTTTTCAATTTTGTAATTTTCTAAATTTTTGTAATTACTGGTATTAGAATTTAAATAATTCTCTGATGCATAATTACTCATATTATTAATAATGTCATTATTACTATTCTTATTGGTATCATTAGAATTACTTATTTTATTTTCTTTATCATCATTCTCTTTTTGTTCCTCTCTTAATTGATCTTCTTGTTCCATATATGAAAACATTTGAAAAATGTAAGCATTTAATTTATTAATATTTTTTTTTTTTAATAAGAATAACAAACAACTGACTATGGAGTAATTTAATGGTTTTAGTTCATTATATTTTAAAGAGAAAAAAAAAAGATATGTATAAATGTTGATGAAACTATTTTTTATATCATAAGTAAGTTTGAAATAATTTTGTAATTTTACTTCTATTAAAATATGAAAACATTTATTTATACTTAAAATTTTACAAAAAAATATAATTATATTTTTAAAAAAGGTAAAATTATTATCCTTAAAAAAATCATTCTTTATATTTTTACAATAATTGTTATATAAATATTTACATATGTAGTCAATTAAAATATAATAATATTCCAAATAAGTTATATATATAGTATTTTTTTTTATATTTTTTTTCTTTAAAATATCCAATATTTTATAATATAAAATATGCTCAAAATCTATTATACTTTTATTTTTGTTATTATCATTTAATGATTCTATAATTTTACAAACTTCATTAAAACTAACTAAATTTGAATTGTTTCCTATCAAGACTTTTAATATTCTATATATTGATAATAAATTATGATTAAAAGTAAGCAAGGTATCTATTGATGAATTACACATTTTATTATAAAAAAATTCCAATAGTAATTTATTCACATTGTGTAAAATTATAGGATGATATATTGCATTATTTTTTTTTCTATTATTATGAATACATTTCTTTTCGTTATTTTTTTTAATTGAGAACATTTTTAAATAATCATAAGAAAAAAAAAGTGTTGAAATTTGTAATAAAATATTCTTACATTCAACAGAAATGAATGGAGATAATAATTTTTTCCTTTCTTTATCATTTGTTATGATTTCTGTGCTATTATAGTCATAATCATAAAAAAAATATTTAAATAAATAGATATTATATTGAAAATTTTCATTTTGTAGATAATCTATATATATTTTAATATTTTTATATGCTTTTTTTATATCATACAAAAACAAAAGAAAATTCTGTTTTTTAAAAATAGAATTACATATATTTAAAAACATATCTATGTTGATATTTTTTTTAAAAAATTCTTTTCTTTCTATATATTTTCTAATATCTTTTATTAATGAAATATTAAGATCTCCTAAATCTGAATAACTTTGATTTTCATTATCACCACTTATGGAGTAGCTATTATAATAATTAGGATTTTCTAAACTATTTAAATTACAAATTTGAATATTACTATTATTATTAGTTTCACTAGTATTCATGTTATAAGAAACCATGTAATTACCCTCTTTTTTTCTATATTTTTTTTTTTCTTCTTCTTCTTCTTCTTCTATTTCTCCATTTTTAAAATTTATGCTATCATTATTATTCTCTTTTTTTTCGTATATATTTTCTTCACTACAGAGGGAATTGTTAATAATATCTAAGAGAATTTTTTTATATACAAAATTATCATCAATGAAAACAAAATTTTTAATAATATCATCAAAATAATAGAGGCATTGTGATAACATTAGTATATTTTGTTCAAAATTATAGGTTGAATTTTCATTTTTAAAATAAAAAAACAATTTAAATAAATTACTTGATGAAGAGCATTTAACATATTTACTTATATCATCAAATGTTATTAAATTACTTATGGAAAAAATTAAAAATATAATTGAGTATTCTTTTTGTTGAAGAGTATTTGTAATAATATCACTGTAGATATAATTATTTGCTAAATTAATATTTGAAAATGTTAAAAAAATGTTTAAAAAAGATTTAAAATTGCTTTTTGATAATACATTTAATCTTAATTGCAAATAAAAAAAGATATTAATACAGTATATTTGTATATTTAGAAATAATAGAATATATTTATAAACCCATGATGTATTTTCTAAATTATTTATTTTTATAAGTTCAAAGTAATTATTAGTATCCTTATAAGTATCAAAATATATTTGTATCAGTTGATGAATATTAAATTTTTTCTCTAATATAGAAAAAAGTATAAAAAGAAAATTTTTTTCATATTCGAAATCTTCTGGTTTATAATTTAGGTAAAAATAAAATATATCACATTTTTTTAAAACGTACAAAATATTTCTAAATATATAAAAATATTCATCACAATATATTAGATGTAATTTATCCATATCAATTGAATCACTGTTATCTTGAATCTTCTTCATAAGTATATCTTCATTTAAGCTATAATTATTTAAATTGTTAAAATTTTTTTTCTTAGAATATTCTTCATAAAAATATACCTTTAAACAATGTACTAACAACTCTTTAGAGAATCCAAAAAAATATGATTTTGATTCATTAAATGTTAAGTTTTCATTAATAAATTGTTGAAGTTTCATTGAAATTACATCATGATATTTGTTATCTAAATTCAAATAATTTAATATTTTACAATATTTATTTTCAAATACTTCCTTAATTTCATTTTCATATCGACTATATTTATTATTACAAATCAATTCATATATTTTTTTATTCGATATATAACCATCTAACATTTTTGCTCTTATTTCTTTAATTTTTTTTGATACTTGTATTCTTTTATTATATTTTAAATTTAAACTTTATTCATATAAATTTTTAAATATCTTTTCCTTTTTAAAAAAAAATGTTACAAAAATTAAAATTGTTACAAATGCATTATTGTAAATAATTTTATGATATTTTGAAAAGAAATAATAAACATATATATCTATATATATTTTATTTAAAAGAAAAAAAAAAAAAAAAAATGTTTTGTATATATATCTATAAACATTTTTTTAATATATCCTTTTATAATTAAATTAAAAAAAACTTCATAAAAAAAAAAAATGGCATTATTTTATAAAAGTTACAATTGAATTTGAGAAAATTCTCATTTTTTATAAACAAATTATAACAATTTAAAAATATTAGTGTTCTTAATTTCATGTATATATATATGTGTTTCTTAAATGTAATTTAAAAAAAAAAAAAAAAATGAAAATGAGAAATAAAGAAAAAAAAAAAGATATATATATATATGTATATATATATAAAAATTATTAACTTTACATTTTATAAAAGAAAAAATTTAGATGAATATATAAATTAAAAAAAAAAAAAAAAAATTCAATTACAATTTTAAAATAAATAAAATACATACGTGTATTATTATATATATATATTTTTTTTTTTTTTACGATTGTGTTGTTTAAATGTTTTTTGTGTATTCTCTTTATTTTTTATTTTTTTTTTTTAAATTTTGAATAATTTTCTTATTATAATTATTTATTATTAAAAATATTTTTATTTAGTTATTTATAATTAAAGCATTTATGGAAATTAATATGAATATATTTATTTTTTCTTAAAAATTAAAAAAAATATGAAAAGAAAAAAAAATTCTTTAAAAAAATATATTTTTTTTTTTCTTATGTTTATTCCGATTTAAAAATTTTAAAGAATATATTTAATGTAGAAAATAAAGAACAAAAATACATTTAAATGTTTTATATATATAAGAAAATTTTATGAAATACTCTTTATAAATATATATACGTAAACTTTTTTTTTTTTTTTTTTTTTTTTTTAGTATTTAATATACTTTTTTTTTTTTTCTTTTAATATGAATAAGGATATATATGAAAAAGAAAATAGAAAAATTAATGAAGAAAAAAATATAAACATAATAAAAACATCAACAGAAAAAGATGAACAATATATTTCAGAAAAAGAAAGAGAAATGAAAAATTTAGATGTAGATAATGAAGAAAATATAGATAGTGATAATGAAAATTCGGAAGGAAAAAGTTTAAATAAGAAAGAAACAAAAAAAAAAATAGATACAAATGATAATAAAAAATCGAAGGATTTAAATAATAAAATTTTTTCGGAAAATATATGCATTAGAAAAACATATAATGATGTTAAGGAAAATGTTTTTTTTAAAAAAGATTTAAAAAATCCATTAGAAGATAAAAAAATAAAAAATTTAGAACATGCATTTATTGAAGAAAAAAGTCATCTTAAAAAGTCTGAACATTGTAAAAAGAATTATACTAATGGAAATATAAAAGAAAAAGACAAAATAAATATAAATAAAAATAGTAAGGGAAAAGAAAACGAAGATATAAATAAAGAAATAAATAAAATTAAGTTTATTAAAAATAAAAAGAATAGTGAGTATAATAATAATTGTGAAAATTTTGTTAAAAGTATAAATAGTGTAAAAAAAAAGGAAATTCAATTAAATAATGAATCATCATCAGAAGAAGAAAATTTTTTTGCTATTGAAAATTTAAATGAAAAAAACGAAGGTTTTTTTGTAAATAATAGTGGTATTGAAGACCTATGTGATATGTCAATCTTTGAAAATGAAAATCTGAATTGTTCTATTTTTTCAAGATTTCCTGATGATATAGATAAAGAGAGTAAATTTATGCAAGATAAAGAATTATTAGAAACTATTGATAATGAGGGAAAGGATGATTTGGAAAGGAAGAATATTATAAATGATGAAAAAGAATTGAGTTGTAATAACAAATCAGATTATACATGCAAAGAACAAAATAGTTTAAACAAAAAAAAATCTATATTTATATTTAACAATATTAAAAATTTGTATAATAGTTTTATTATGAACAAAAGTATTGATAGTGATAATTCATTTTTAAACACACGAATGAGCAGTGTTAATAAAAAGAAAGAATTTTTATTAAACATTTTATCGAACTCTAATGAAACAAAAACAAATTTAAATAAGGATTATGAGAAAGTGAAAGATTTAGAGAAAAACAAGGAAGAAATAAAACAGAATGAAAAAATTATTCAAAGGATACTAAATTTAACTAATAGCAACAATAATAAGTATAATAGTAAAAATAATTTCATATATGACAATGAAGAAGAGGAAAAAAAAAAAGAGAAAAATTGTCATATAAATGAAGTAATTAATGATTCTTATATAAATAAAAGAAAATATAGTGGTATAAAAGGATATGAAGAAATGAAAAAATATAATAACTTTTTTTTTGGTAATAAAATAGAAAAAGATAACTCGGTAAATATGAATTATATTTATGATAAATATAAAATTTTATTATCTGAAATAAAATCAGGAGATTATTTAAATTCTATAGAAAAAAAATTAAATATTATAGAAAATTCTTTATTATGTACTTCTGATCTGCAAGATAATAAAGATGAAAAATTAGATATAAAAAAAAAATTTGCAGAAATATTTGATAATGCCTTAGATTGTTTAATAGACAATTATGAAGAAATAAAAAAAAAAGATGATACAGAAAAATTAAAAAAGGAACAATTAAATTTGACATGTGACTTTAATTTATTTTTAAGATTATGCAAAATGATATTAAACGATGAACAAATTATACATGAAAATAATCAGAAAAATATTTTATTTTATAATAATATTTATAAAACAAATTATTTATTAAATTGTAACAAAAACAAAGATATTTTTTATAATATATATGCTAGAAAATTTGATTTATTATTACTAAGAAAAAAGCAAAAATCGAGAACAAAAATAAATTATATAAAAAAAGGAATAATAGAAAAAATTAATATATTATGGTTTTATGAAAAATATAATGACATAAATTATTTGCATTTATATAATTTAAATAATATTAATAGTAAGGTAATGACATTAATAATAGATGCACCTCTTGAGTGTATAGATATCGTATATTTGAATAAATTTTTTCCATTAGACACTTTTTATAATTCTATAAAAAATTATTATTTAATGATTATAACTGAAAACTCTTTTTATTTTTTTAACATTCATTTATATTTTAATTGTGAAGAAGATTTTAATATTTCAGTAAATGAACAGTTAATATATCAAACCATATATCCATTTTATTTTAATTTATATTTGTTTTTATTATTTAAATTACCTAAAGATATAAAAAAGAAAATTGAATTTATTTGTTCAGATGAAAAAAATGAGAGAATATTTTTAGCCCAAGATAATGGAATTATATATGAATTTATTTACGAAAAAAAAGAATTATTCAAACCACTAAATATTTTTAAAAAAATAATTATTAATTCTTTAGATGCATTAGTTAGTAGCGTAAATGAAGCATTATTTTCGCAAAAGAAAAGTGTAGTAGATATATCAAAAAACGAAAATAATATAGAAACTAAAAATAAAAATATCTTAATCCATCAGTATAAAAAAGAAGAAAAAACTAATTTTTTAAGTGATAGAGAAATTTTAGATGAATATAACAAAAATATTTACTGTGATGATTTACAATTGGTTCCAATTAAGTATCATTTAAAAAAAGTATTTAATACTTATTCATTAAAATATTTCTCTTTTTATAGAAATAAAGTAAGAAAAATATTAATTGATCATGATAGATCTATACTATATGTGTTATATGAGAATAGTGATATTTATGTGAAATTATTATCAAGTATAATAGATAATAAAAAGAATTACATATCAGAAACTATTATATTTACAAAAAATGATTTAATAAAAGAATTGAAAAATATACATTTTATTGATGATAATAATTTAGTTTATCATGATTGTTTCAATACTAATAATGATTTTTTTTACAGTAATAATAATAGAAAATATTTATCTCCATGTATCATAAATAAAAATTCTTTTAATAAATTAAATATTATTGATATACATATTAACTGTGTACATGAGAGAAATAATATTTTTTTAAAACTTATAGATAATAATTTCAATATATATTATTTATCACTTGTGAAAAATTTAGACAATAATAATTATAAATTTGTTTTAAGAGATTTTCAAAATTTTCCTCATAAAAAAGGATTAAAAATTGATGGAAAGGATTCTCAAGCTGTTTTTACTCTCTACTTAAAAAATTTTTATGTTATTATTAAAAAAAAAGATATAAAAAAATATAAGAGTATAGATAGTAACAAATTAAGTAATATAAATAAAAACTTATTAAGTCAAGAGGATATAGATATAATAAAAAAAACAAAAAAATTTGTTTCCATAAAAGATAATAACGCAAAAATAATGAGAAGAAATACAAATGATATGGAAAATATAGATAATAATGAAGTTAAAAAAAATAAAAAAAAAATGGAGGATGAAGAAAATATAAATGATTATGACGAAAGTGATGAAAATGATTATGAAAATGATGAAGATAATGATGATGATGAAAATGATGAAGATGATTATGATGAAAATGATGGAAAAGATGAAGATAACCAACTTAATAAAAAGAAAAAGGAAAACAAATTTTTTTATAAAGTACAATTATTAACAAATTCAGATGAATTTGTTAACACCAATATTTCTAATTATAATAAAAATAAATATGTTTTTAAACATTTAAATGAATATTACATAAATGAAGAAATAATTGGTATAATTTATAAAAAAAAAAATTATTATTTCCACGAGTTTTTTGAGAAATCTCAAAAAGATCATATAATAAAAGATTTTTACGTTGATAAAATTAAATATGATAACAGAAATAATATGATAAATAAAAATGAGGATAATATGATGAATTTAACTTATGAAAATAATTTAAACCATATGAACACTACAAAAAAAGAGGAAAACATCAATTTTTATGGTTATAATAGAAATATATCTAATATATATAATAAAAGGAATTTAATTAATAATGATATAGGTGTTCATAAAAATTTTATATATAAAGATAGTGAAAGGAATATTAACAAACAAAAAGGAAAAATAGAAAGTATGCCACCATTTTATTTAGATGAGAATACCATTAGTGAATATCAACAGTATTATGATTTAGTAATTATAACAAAAAAACATATTTATTATATTACTAAAAATACAAAAATTCAGAGAATAGAAAAAATGATAAATAATTATTTAAATTATAATGTAACTTTTGAGAATAGAAATATAAAAAACATTGTTTTAAGTGAATTAAAAATAAAAGAACATTTAAAAAATAATACGGATGAATTTTATAAAAATATAAAACAAAATATTTTAAATAAAAATGAAAGAGCAAATATGCCAGTTAAAATGAATTATGAAAAAAAAAATCATATAATAAAAAAACAAAATTCTTTTAATTTGATGAGAGAAAAAAATGATTATGAATTAATATATGAATATTTTATAAACCAAATAATACATATTTCTTCTAATGATGAATTTTTGTTTATTATATGGTGTTTATTACTAAATCATGTTTATAAATTTGAAATAATGTGTTTTAACAGTATTCATAATAATAATCAGAAATTTATTAAAAATAAACCAGAAGAATCTAGTAATTTATCCCCTAAATTAAATAAATTAATGCAAAAATCAAAGGAAAATACTTCTTTTTATTTCAATCAAAAAGAAAATGATAAAAAAACGCAATTAGAAAAAATATACATTCAAAAATTACAAAGAAAAGAAGATCAATATATGAAAATAAAAGAATCAACTAATCAAATAGATTACGATATACTAAATAAAATATATAAACCAACTCCATTTAAATTTGGTTTCATTGATAAAAGTGCTGATTATATTATTAAACAGGGAAAGTTGCAAAAAGCAATGGAATTAGAAATCAAGACGAGAAAAATTAAAGGAATAAATCATTTATTTAATGATAGTATAGATGATATAGAAAATGAAATAATTAAAAATAATAACAATAAAAACAAAAATGATAATTTACAAGATAAATTTAGTGAAAATATATTACTAAATGATATGGAATCTTGTAATTTATTTAATATTTATGAAAAAAAAAGTACAAAAGAAAAATTTCTAGATTCAGAAAAAAATAAAAGTGGTAATTTTGCATTTGAATATTTAACTAATAAAAATTTTGATATTATATTTTTAAAAAATGTGAATTTTTACAACAGTTCATTAAATTTATTATCAAGGGGTTTGTTATTATTACTAAGTCGTTTATTGAAACCAGTTATGTTTATTCATTTATTTTCATGTGAAAAATATCAAAATAATAATATTTTTAAATGTTCAAATAATTACCTTGAAAAATCTAGAAAATTTATGAAAATATCTGAATGTTCAAAAGGTATACAAAAAGAAAATTCATTTCATTTTTTTTACTTTTTCATATTCCAACTTTTTCATATTTTTATTTTTTTTCATATTTTTATTTATTTATTTTTTTTTTATTTTGCTAGATTTAGGAATATCTGTTATCTCAAAAGATAAAAATGAAGAAGGTGAAGAAACTTTTTACAATATGAAAGATTATTGTATAGTAAGAATGAATGATGATATACAATTAAAAAAGAAAAGAAAAAGAAGTTTTTATGAAGATAATGAATTGATAATATTAAATGGGAATGTACCTTTAGATTGTTGTTTAAATTTAATTGAAAAATTAAAATGTCTTAGTTTATGTGTAAGTATTGTTTTAACAAACCTATTAAAAAAGAAAAATGATTATGCAAATAAAATTAAAGAAATGACTGATATTTCAATTATAAATATATACTATGATTATACATTAATAATGGTAAATGAGATAAATGAATTTTATTCCATTTTAAATTTTATAAATTTTAGCATAGAATATTTACTAATTTATTCTATAATTATTAGTGATTATTATAAAAATAAAAATATAATTAAAAAGAATGATATTAATAATAAGCAGAATTTTTTATATTTATCAAGTACATTATTTGATTTATTAACAAAATGTAACTTTATGAAAACATATTTTAGTAAAACTTATAGAGATATATTAAAACAGTGCTTATTTAGTATCATCAAATCAGAAAAGTATATACCGATTGAATTTTTTCAAGGATATATTATTCATAAAAACGAATTTCTTGCTTTATTTTTAACAAAGAAGATTGAAGAAGAAATTTTTTTAAAAAAAAAAATGAAAATTAAAGAGAATTATGAATATTATAAAAATGACAAATATGATGAATTTTTAGCATCTGAAAGAAGAGCAGAACATTTTATAAATGAAAATCTAAAAGATGCCTTAATAAGTATTAATATATTCAAATTAATTATTTTATTATATAAAGCTGATTACTATAAGTGTGCGAGTACTTTAATTAGTTTATATATAGACTCCTTTTATAAATCATTAAATTTTAAAGATAAAAACAGTGAACATTTTATTGAAAAAAAAAATTTAAAATCAATATATGATAATTTTTTTAACTTAAAAGAATATTATTCAAGTAAAATTCTTATAAACAATATAGATGTAGAATATGATTATGATTACTTCGTTTTATATAGTAGTTGTTTCTTACCAGTAGAGAAAATTGTCCATGTGAATTATATGAAATATTTATATAAAAATAATGAAAAAAAAAAAAAAAAAATTAAAAAGTTTCTTATTACATTATTAGAATATTCTAGTGATATAAATTTTCATTTCTTTATTTTTAATTTAGTTTTGTATAAATGTAAAAATGAATTTCCTTGTTCTATTTTTGAATTAAATATATCTCAGTATTTATATTATTTCATTAAACTTAATGAATTAAATATAAGAGATGCATTTGTTTATTATTTTAGAGAACTAAAATATCAAGACATTGTAATATTTTTTGCTAGAAAGGCTTTTTGTCAATGGAACATTTCTATAGAAGATAATTTATTAAGTACTATTTATAAAAATGAAGTAAAAAAATTGAAAGAAAATGAAAATGTAAAAGAAGAAGAAGAAGAAGAAGAAGAAAAAGAAAAAGATGAAGAAAAGAAATCAGGAGGAATTAAAAAGAAAAAAGAAGAACAAAATGAAAATATTATTATTGATAATAATAATAATAATAATAATGAATCAAGTTGTGATATTTTTTCATCTATAAATAATCACATCAGTGAATATTTTTTAGATTTTAAGAGTATAAATAAAAAATCTTTTATAAATGAATTAACAAACAATAATTATATTTATGAAAACAACTATATAGGGAATAGTTATCTACTATCAAACCCTTTATATAACAATGAAACTAAAAATATTTTTTATAACATATATAAGTATCTTTTTAAAATAATTTCTTTTCCAAGTTTAAAAAAGAGAATGGAATATATTGATAATTGTATGAAAACAAAGATTTTTATAATTCAAAAGGTGTGTAATTTTAAAAATAAAAACTATCAAAAAAATAAATTATTAAATGAATATATAGATTCCTATAATGATGAAACTAATAATTATTTTGTGCATAAAAAAAAAGGAAATTTAAATGAATTAAATGAAAGTTTAAAAAAAAAAACTATTCATGAATTACTTAATATAAATTGTGCATTAGATAAAGAAGTTTTAAAAAATTATTATATAGTTGATAAAACTAATACATATGATGAAAAATTTCATAAATCTATAAAAACTTTATTTAATAAAAATAAATGCTTATTTAAACTGAAGGAAGAATATTTATCCAATCAAAATGCTTACTATTTAAATTTAAAAGAAATTAAGAAATGTAAAACATCTTTAAACTATCATAAATTATTATTTCATGAAATAATAAATTTATTTGTTTTTTATGTTTATAAATTTTGTCAATGGGATATCTTAAAGGATTATTTTGATATTCTTATGACAGGATCAAAGGAAGAAATTAAAAAAGTTCTTGAACATTTTGAAAATATAAATAGTGAAGAAATTGAGGTAATAAGAAAATCCTTTTCAAATATGTATGATTATCTTTCTAAAAGTAAATACGAACATATAGGTGACGTAATAACTGATTATAATCATCAAATAAATAACGTTAATAATAAAATAAATATAAAAAGAATAATAGATATAATAGATACATTTAAAGAGTTTCTAATTATAATTCAGAAAAATATACATACAAAGGAAGATTTAAAAAATAAAATATTTTCTAGAAGCAAATTTTTATTTAAAAATTTTCTTCCATCTTTTAATTTATTAAAATTAATAATATTATGTGATAAAAAAAAAGATAAAATAGATAAATTAAATTCTAACTGTTTTTCAACAGTTAATCATATGCTAAAAAATGATATAAAATGTAGTTCTTTTTATTTTTCTAAATATTCTTTTTGTTTTGAAAGGCTATTAGATTTTTCATTTTCCTTAACCATATCTTTTGAAAATATAAATTTTATAATTAATTATATTGGAGATATACTGAAATTATATGATATAAAATTTAAGAATTGTTTATATTTATTAGTTGTTATAAAAATGCATAAATTTATGAACAATTTATTTGAAATAAAGAAAGTAAGATCTCTTTTAAAAAACAAGATAGGAGTATTAAAGACAAAAAAAAATGAGAAAATGAAGTTAATTTATCTTTTAAATTGTATCCCATTAATATATCTTGACTCACAAATGAATGTAATTTTAATTAATGAATCATATGAATATAAAACAAATCAAGATAAAATAATTTTTTCGAAATTATCACCATTTTCATTGATAACTAAAGTTGTTAATCAGAAATTGCGAAGTGTGTATTCTTATCACGACTATATTGATAATTATGAGGAAAGAGAAGAAGAAGAAGAAGAAGAAAAAGAAAAGGAAAACGAAACAGAATACGAAGATGACAAAGAAAATGATGAAAAAGAGTTGAGAAAAAAAGAGGAAGAATTAAAAAAAAAAATAAAGAATGATAACATAGCCATAGATAGAAATGATAGAAAATCTTTGTATTATTTATATAACATAAATTACTGCTTTAATGAAAATGAAAATAATGAAAATATAACAAATAATCGTGAGTTAATAGTTTTAAGTTATAAAAATTATTGTTTTTATATAGTTTGGATATCTAATCTATTATTAAATCACAAAGTTGAATATAAATCATTAATAAATGTTTACGTTAAGATTCATAATAATTTAAAACATCAAAAATCCTCACATTTAGAAGAACATGAAATAGCTATAATTATTTATTACTTATTTACAATGTGGATTAATGGTGATAAAAATAATTGCTCCTTTTTCTTTTATAATGAAGAAAAGAGTTATAATGAAAAAAATTATATTGGACGTTTTTTAAAAGATAAGAATGGAAGATCTGAGTATATTAGTAATTATTCATTAATTACTTTATTAAAAGAACTCTTATCAAGAGCAGAATTTTATTTTGAATATACATCTGATGCTGCTTCAAGAAATTATGATATTAGCTCTATTATGCTAGATTCATCAATTTATGATAACGAAAAAATCAAAAAGTCATCTGTTGATATTTTAAAAAAATTTTTTGATGATATATATATTACTTTTAATGAAGTATTAACAAAAATTCCATTTCTAAATAATATTATAGAATTTCAAGATATTCATGATTTTTTAAAAAAATTTAAAAGATATCTTGAAGAAATTTTTTGTAAAATTACTATAAATGAAAATAGTTTTAATTGCTAATTAAAAAGTTAATAATTTAAAAATAGAAAAATAGTAAAACATATGTATATATATATATATGTATATATTACCTAATACACTTATCCTCTTTTAAATATTATATTTTAAAAAAGCTTTTTTTTTTTTTTTTTTTTTTTTTTTTTTATTAAATATTATTATTAACATTTTCATATTGTTATTGTTATATAATATCATACCATATATTTATTTGGCACTTAAATATTTATTCAAATGTTACAATAAAAAAATATGTTGTTAATAAAAATTATAGTTAATAATATATATATATATATGTATATATATTTAAAAATTATTTCATTAAATTTATAAGAAATGTGAAAATATTCAATAGAATATATCTTATTTTTTTTTTAAAAATTATTTCTTTTTTAAATATGCGTAATATAAAAATTTTACACACAAAACACATTAATTTTTGTCATATATACAAATTTTAAACTTTGTTATATTTAATTATTTTTTTTTTTTTTATTCTTTTTTCTTTTTTTTTAATATTTAAAAATAAACAAAAAATAAAAACACTTTTTTCTCCTTTTAATTATTATTTTACTTTTTTATATTATAAATAAGATTTGAATTAAACTTGGTGTAACAAAAGTTAAGAACACTTTTTTTTGATGCTTGTCTCTATATGCATTAATATTATTTTATTTTTAAAAGATAAAGATGAGAATAAATTGAATCTTCATTAAAGTTACTCTCTCTTTTTTTTTATTTTCATTTTTCATTAAAGTTACCATCTTTTTTTTATTTTCATTTTTCATTAAAGTTACTCTCTCTTTTTTTTATTTTCATTTTTAATTAAAGCTTTTTTTTTGCAACAGTTGTAAGAATTAATCAGAAAAAAAAAAAAAAAAAAAAAAAAGAAAAAGCTCATTACATTTATAAAATTATTGCATGCAAAAAGATGTTGAACCTAAATCAAGTTGAAATATGAAAATAATAAGCCAAGAAGTAATAAGAATAAGAAATAAAAAATTCATAAAAAAAAAAAAAAAAAAAGAAAAAAAAAATATATTAAATACATATATTATATTATTATATAAACTTTTGCAATTCTAATAGAACATTAATATACAGATAAAAAAGCATAAAAATAAATTACACCTATAGTATTAGAGAATAGTCTCTCTTTTTTTTTTTTTTTTTTTTTTTCTTAAAATAATTATATTTTTCTCTTGTGGGTTTTTTTTATTATTAATGCTTTATTCGAAATGCTTTTATCTACTTTTATCTCAAAAATTTACAACATAACATTTTTATGAATGTTTCGTTAATATTTAATTAAAAAAGGAAATAGAAGCATGAATTTTTTTTTTTTTTTTTTTAATATTTGATGTAATGAAAATAAGTTGTTTTTTATTCTTTTCAATTTTTTTTTATTTTGCTCAAAATATTACTTTGGAATTGAATAGGAAATCTTCAAGAAAAAATTCACTTGATATTAGTGATGAAAACGAAAAAAAAAAAAATAAGTGGCTTAACTTAGATCCTGAAATTAATGGAAATACATGTGTAATATTTTCAGCAAAAGAAGGAGATTTACAAAAGTAATTCACTTTTTTATTTTTTTTTTTTTTTTTTTTGTATAAAGTTTTAGCTATAAACTTATATTTTTTTAATTTTATTTCTTAAAATTTACGTTGATTTCTTTTTCTTATTGAATTTTTTAATTTTTTTTATATTTTATTTTTATAAATTTGTATATTTTTTAACACACTAGTTACAATTTTAATATTTTCAATTTATTTACTTTTTATTAACACCAACTTGTAATGTATTGTATATATTTTGAATGCACCATTATAATGTTTTTTTTTTTTTTTTTTTTTTTTTTTATTTATAAATGATTAAGTTCTTTATTTTAATTAAATTTTCAGTTGTTGGTGTCCAAGAGGATATATAATGTGTAATGAAGAAGATGTTACAGATATACAAGTAAAACTTAATCAAATAAAAAATGAAATGGAAAGAAAGAGAGCAACACCTTTATGGATGCAAAGATTATGTGATAATTCAAAAGATAAAGGATTTAAAAATATGTCTGTTGTAATTGATTATGAATTAGCTGTTATATGCAAAGAAGGATCTGATAAAGAACATCCAGATTTTGAAATTATAGGTGCTTCTGGTTATATTACAAAAGAAGAAATGCAACAAAAAGAAAAAGAGAATCCTCTATATGTACCAAGGAAGTGTACTGTTAACAGTTTTTATTTATGTAGAAAAGTAGAAAATGATAATGTTAATTGTAAATATTCTCCATGGTCAGAATGGGATACTTGTATAGATAAAAAACAAAAAAGAAATAGAAAAGTTTTAAGATCCAATCAAAATAATAATAATTTCTGTTTATGGAATAATAAAATAATACCAAGAAATATAGTGGAAGAAATTAAATCTTGTGAATAAAATAAAAAAGTAAAAAAAAAAAAAAAGATATTATATCTTTATGATTCCTTTTAATATAATATTTATAATACTTAATTCCATATTAGTTAATAAACATATTTTAATTATAATAGTTATGATTTCTTTAAAAAAGGTTTATTTAGAAATGTGTGTGTATAACTTTAAATAAAATATACCATACAATATTTTTAGTATGCTTTTTTTTTTTTTTTTTTTTTTTTTTTTTTAAAAATTT